CAGAAGGCTGGACAGCTGAGTGTCTGTACTTGAGTAAATGCAGTGAAGTATACATCTGATCGTTATTTCCACAATAGACATCTCAAGCTATCCCATTTATGTTTCATAACAAAGGAAGAGTTGCAGAAGCAGCAAGGTAGAATAGAATCATCCGTACAGTATGGATGGACTAATGCATACACGGCTTACCATTTTTCTTCCACACTGTATTTTTCCATCTGCTGTGGCTCCTCATCCATTTCCAAGCCAATTCAAAGTGCTGGTGCTAACCTTTCAGGTTCTAAATGGCTTAAGGCCAGATTACTTGAAGGATCAGCTCCTCCCATATATACCTGCCTTGACCCTAAGATCATCTTCAGAGACCCTTCTCCAGGAGCTCCTGCCAAATGAACTGAGGTGAAGGTCAACTGAAAAGATGGCTTCTTCCGATGTGGAAGGAGATCTTCAGAGAGGCTCACATGGCACCTACACCATTGCTTGTTTGGCACCAGGTGAACACTGTTTTCCTGGGTATTTGAGTCTTTCAAGGCACAATCAAAATACACATAGCCCTCTGAACTCAGAGGACTACAGGCATCCTATGAAGGTCAGGATAATCACAGACATGAAAATGAACTCTCTCCAACTTCCTTTTTCACTAGATGATGATTTTGACTGTCTAGCTGAGGTGCCTTAGCTGAGTATTTTGCGGCACTGACAGAATACTTCAGTGCCAATCTCTTCCCCAACTTGCCTCCCAGAATGCCCCCAAATCCCACCTCTGAGGTTACTCTTGAGATCTTGGAAACAACCAGTTCATTATTTCCATGCCAGCTGTATGTGAGTTGGGGGGGGGGGGAGGTGGTCTCCAAGCTTGGAGAGAGTTTATGAGGTCAGAGCTAGGACTCTGAAAAATCATCTGGATACTGTCTAGTGGCCATAGGTTTGCACCACCAGTTTTTCTTTTTAAATATGTTACTGCATTTATTACAATTAGTAAATTTTACTTTTCATTTTGGTTCTATACAATAGTTTTAAATTGCCTTCCAGAGGGACTGCAGCTGTCAGTGGTGACCATCACTGCTGGCTCCAGGTTTCTGAGGGCCCTGGAGCAAGACACCTATGATGGGCCCTCCCTCAGCAAGTCAGTCTTCTCACTCCCATTAACATCACCTGTCCTTGCTCTCCATTCCCTTTTTCATCCTTGCAGCCACTTCTTGCTGGACAAGCAGGCAGCCAGGGAGCTCACAGACACTGGCACCCCGAGCTTCTCCTCAACATCACTATTATCACAGAGTACAATGGAGAAAAAGAGCAGCAAGACTAGGGAGCTATTGGCAATGGATTCCTGCTGGTGTGTGGGCCTTTGGCAAGTGCCCAGCCATGCCTACTCTTGACACTAGCACTGGTGGCCACATCAGTGATGTATCATTGAATTACTGCAATATTATCCCTGAGTGCAGCACTTGCCATTTCTCTAATGGAGGCAGGGGAACCCACTTGGAACCAGTAAAGGTGAAACTTGATCTGTGTCCCTTGTAGCCTCAGCCATTCAGAATCAGGCCTGCTCCTGTCTGTGTATCTACTTGTCTATTCATGGCCGTGCTACAATGTGCTGGAATGTGAGGAGAATGTGATGGAACATTAAACGTGATGGAACATTGGAAAATTGGCTGGATAAAGGAAGATAGAAGAGTTACATAGCATCGTCCTGCATTTGCCAACAAAGGTCCAGGGGATGTGAACAGAATTTGTATGGCTCTGTTGAACATCTCTTGCAGTACTGCTGCCCTCCAGTGGCCTGCTGAAACAGGAATTCTGGAAAAATGATGTAGCTATTAATATGGATATGAGTTGTTTCCATGACCTAGTAATAAGCATTTTTATGTGGGTTGCTGGAAACTATGTGTCAGCCAGAAGAATTCTGACAGCATCATTTTTGAAACATTAAAAATGTTTTTGTGTAATAACAGAATTTTATAGCAGGAGAGAAGCAGCTGTGGCCCTCCAAATATAGGACTTCAACTACAATAGCTAGAGATGATTGAAGTTGTAGTCCAACAATATCTGGAGGGACACAGGATCTCTACTCCTATTCTAAAGTCTTGTGTTTGAAAAGTAAAATGAAGATGATTAGAAGCAAAAGAGAACTGAATTTTGTATCTTTAATATGTGTATGAAAGAAGAGAGAATTAAAATGCAGAAGAACACACAGGGAAGAAATATGTATAAAAATAATAGCTATGGGTCTTGCAGTGTCTAAAAACTGTCTACAAATGATGAAAGGTACAGAACACTGTGCTCCTTCGTTTCTGGTCACCTGCGATTCCTTTAGGTTCTCTGGAGGAGGAACCTTACTTGTTTACCTTTCCCCCTTTTAAAATGTTGAAATTGACTCCAACAGTGTCTTCTTAAATGGACAGTCAACAGTGCTGTGCATAATCCAGCTATGCAAAGAAGTGGTTGCTTAATTCATTATTGACACAAGAGCTGCCCAGTCAATGCTAATAAATTTCTTCTCTGAACTGGAAGCACAGTTCCCACATCCCTGCAACTTGGAAGAAATTTGTATGTGTTGCTTGATAAGTGATGGGGCTTTTACAATAGACTCACCCCTAAATTTATCTTCACACTGGTATAACTGACTGGTAAAAAAGTTCCGAAGAGCCATTACTGAGGAACCAGTCCCTAAGGATCTGTTACTAGTGAAAGTACACCACAGTGGGTGACATTTTTCTCCTGTGCTCCTATTCTCTTGACAGCTCTTCTTTTCCATGCATCAAGCTGTCAGGAAAGGACAATCCCTTTTGCCAGGGATCCCTGGTTCAATCCATAGCATAATCAGGGAAGGTTATGGAAGAATCCTGCCTGAAATCCTACGCAGCCACAGCCATTCAACACCAACACTACTGGGCCCAATTCATAGACTGGGTTCCAAAAAGATGATAACACAGGGTTGACTGTGGATTGTGTACAGGCTATCTTTGAAAATGTAGGTTGCTGCACTAACAAGCCATGGCTTGTTAACCATGAACAATCCATGAAGAGAACCCATAGTTTGTTTTTGGGTTGTGAGCTGTATATTGTTCACCAAGGCTTGCTACCTCAGCTAAGTCCAGAAACAAGATAACCCACATTTCAAGAACTACCCATGATTCAATGGCAACCCACATCCAACCCATACTCAACTATTGAATATGAGCTATAATGTTCTGTGAATCCAGCATCCTATGTTTCAGTATAAGGCACTTTCATGCTCCATTTTACTAGGGATCTCATTATTTCCATCAAAAGCGTTGCTTGAGTTCCTCTCCCAGCTGATGGGTCCTGGTCAAAGCCATTGCTACAAAGGTAGAGTTCATAACCTTCCCACATTTTGTTTGGAAGTGTTTTGCTGACTGGACTGTGGAGGCAATCCGTGACCTGGGAACAGAGACATGTACAGATGTTCAGTCATTTCTTTATTGTTTGATGTGGTCAAACCTGGTCTAATTTACCCTTAATTGCTAATCTTATGAGCTTATGCATATGAATTGTGGCAATGAGCTCTAGCTTAGAGAGTGATTATGGAATCATTGGCCCAGAAGCTGTCCCAGGTCTAAAGACATAAAACTGAAATAAGTCACATCTGGTTTTGTCAGTACAGTAAACAATAGTAATTCCTGGTTTGGTTAACTAATTGAATTTGGAAGATAGCATCAGATATATCATGGAAAGAGATATAAAAGCAATATCCCTTTAGATAAAGCAAATATATACAGATACTGATTATCCCTGTGACCTTCATCCACCACTATCCAAAAGTAATGCTAATATTGCAATAGGTTTGCTAAATCCAAAGCCTCTATATAACAATGATTATCCAATATCCTCTATAGGTTAAGGTTTCATTACAAAGCAGATTAGATGGAATACCAAAAATATAGAAAAAGAGTAGGAGTTGAAGAGGGAGTTTGCTAAATTGCTTATAGCAGTAGTTGGTTTAGAAAGTGAAGTGGCGAAGGTGGAGGATAAAGAGATGAAGGAAGGGTGATGGCTGGCTGGCAGAAATCCCTACAGATTTCAAAGAGACTGACTGGAGCAAGAAAGAACAGAAACAGGAGGGGGTTGGACCCAATGGTCTCCATGGCCCCTTCCAACTCTACTATTCTATAATTCTATGAAAAGGGACAAACATATGTAGCTGGAGGAAGGGAGTTTGAGCAGGTCATGGATGTAGATACCCACTGTAGCCTTGAGAAAGGAAAATACTGATAACTACACGGCAACTGCTTTCCTGGTTCATTTTTCCAAGCTGATTTGATAATGTTTGGGTCTAGATACCCCATGAACACGAGCAATAACATAACATCTATTTAATTCTTTTTCATATATTGAGCTTGTCTGCTATTGCATATCCCTAAGGTTTTAAAGACACAGAACAAAGAAGTTATACGCACACAAATACAGAGCCCGCCCAAGACTTACCCTGCCCATTTTATTAGAAATAACACAAAAGGGGAAAAGGATAGAGAGGATAC